CTTTGTGGCCTACATAACTCACAACTCACGCAACTCCTAACTCCATCCTCTACAGCTTATAAATGTTGTTACAGCTCTGCTCTATGGAACGTGACCAACTTCACTGGCAACACATAACTCATGCAGCTCCCAACTCCAACCTCCATGGCCTACGAACGCTATTACAACTTCTCACTACAACCTATGTGACCAAATAGGGTCTATGTAGCTCATAGCTCACACTGTTCCAACCTCTAACCTTTATAGCCTACGAACATTATTACTGCTCCTCGTTACAATCAATATGACTAACTACTATTGACGCAACTCACAACTCACATAACTTCCTACTATGACCTATGTGGATAGCTTACACTCCTGAGGTAACTATCTATGACCCACATGAACAACTACTACCATGGCTTCCAACTACAGACTCTACAAAAGCTAGCGCTACTTCCATCATCTACAACATTCACGACAGTCTACTACCTTCTTAGCAAACCCGACACACTATTATTGATGAAATATCATTGTACACCGATTTTGTAATTTCATCTTCCCTAATTTAGGAGAAGAGTGTGTTTATGTACTCACAATTATATAGTTGATTACTTTAACTGAGTCAGGCCACGTAAGTTATTTCCCTTTTTAATGATTTTCACATAAAAAAAATTGATGTGTTTCTGCTGATACTTTTATTTTCTGAGTATTTGTTAGATTCTTATACAATGTTGCGATAACAATTCAATGCTCCATTGCCACAAATTCTCTAATGCATATCAGTTTGGTATCATATGTAGGAAATAAAGTCTCATTCGATACACTCTTCAAGTCTGTATTATTGAGCTTCTACTTTATTTCCTAATAATATACATTGCCCAACTGACGAATGAACCTCCTTTTCACCTCTGAAGCATTCTTCAATGTGGGAAACAACATTCACAATAGTCTCAAAAGGTCGCTCACGTCAACGATTCGGGCATGATTGTAGTGAGACAATCTTTCTTAATTCTATTCAGACGTGCCCTTATATGGTGTAAGAACACACACCCAAATATGATGTAACGAAGCACCCCACATGTGGTACAACGACGTGCCCCGTATAAGGTGTAAGAACACACCCTATAAATGGCGCAAGAACACGTCCAGCATACAAAAAAATAATGCCTCTTGAAGATAGTGTAACAACACATCCCGTAATAACTATTTGCGACCACAATACTCAGAATATGTTGAATTTCTCCAGACTCTTAGAACTCTATCCTTGCAGCCCATCACTACAACCAACATAAACAACTATGATCTATTTTGTTCATAGTTCATTCAGGTTCCAAATACGACATCTACAACATGCAGAAGTTATCATAACTCATGTAACTCCCATCTCTAGCATTTGTGGGCTACACAGCTCACACAGTTCCTAACTCTGGTCTCTGTAGCCTACAAACATTATTATGACTCCCTTTATGACCAATGTGATCAACTTTGGCCTAAGCGGCCCACAACTTACACAGCTCCCAACACTGGTCTTTACAGCCTATGAACATAGTACAACTCATTGCTATGGCTTATGTGACCAACCATGGCCCTACGTGGCTCACAGCTTACGTAGTAGCCAACTCCAGTCTCTGTGACCTATGGTGGATATTGAAACTCCCCATTACGACTATGTGATCAATTACAACATAAGCAACTCACAACTCACTCAACTCCTTACTATAGCCTCTAAGGCCAACCAACACTCTTGAAGCGACCATCTACGAACCACATAACCAAGTACTATCATAGCTGCCAACTATGACCTCTACAACAAGCTGAAGTTACAACGAGCATTTACAAAATTCATAGGGACTACGGTGTCACACCTCAATTGACCCCCCTTTAAAGGTTAGCTGGGGTGTGATACAGGAAAAAAATTCAATTAGGGTAAATTCTCACAAACCCTCAACCTAACTTGCAAAATTAGGACCTACTGAGTAACAAATTAGTCTAACTAAATTTCTAGAAACATACGTAAAACATTGTATTTCATATTTCATTCATATTCATACTCAAAAACATGAAAAAATCATGTCCTTAAAACATATAAACTATACGGAGCTGCTAAATCTTAAATATATTAAATATGTACTCATAAATTTTATATAGCTTCCAAAACTATACAGTGTAAAACTGTACAAATCACATATGCCTTTTTGTTTCAGTGCTCGTTTCCTCTACCTGAAAGAAAACAACAAATAATGAGCAACAACCAGCTGAGTGAGACAATTAACATTAAACAAAGATTGTATACATGGAAATGAAACAACTTTCGTGCTTGTAGGAAACTGTCATGTCTATACATAAGTTACAATATACTATAATCATATATAACATAAGAAGAAAAGTAGGTAGTGTACAAAGCAAAATTACTGTATAAACATGTATGTTATAAACATGAAATCATAAGTATAATCAAAACATGCTTATAGGTTGATTATCGTATGTATTCATAGCAATGTCATTTCATATGCATCATTTCATAATAATGTCACTTGTAAATATATAAATCTAAACTATTTCCACATCCTTTCATATCATGGGTCGTCACCCTGACCCACATGATATATAAACTATCAATAAATATTGAGTTTCCCCCTACATAGTAGTTAATAATAGTTTCAATGATTCCAACGATTCTCTAACGTTCTATTACCGTTCAATTCCAATGATTCACAGAGTTTCATCTCTACTTAATTATTAGGAGACTTGAGTATCATATACATGCATAATGTATTTGTAAGCATTCATGTAATAGTTTACTAATAATATTTCTAATGACAATTCTTAAATCATAATACATGTAGCATGCACTCATAGACATTTCATATACATGTATGAATCATAAATGAATGCCTGCAATGTATCATAACAAAACATAACAATACATGTATCGTAAAAGAATTCAACATGCATTCAGACATTTCAAGCATATATTTATGTATAGTTTGCAGAGATTTCTAAATGCATCTGTCTCAAATGAGAAATCATATGAAAACCTATAAAAGAATAATTTTTAGCAAATTAGCACAAGCTTATTTCACCTGACAAGATGGAGCAGTCCTACGTCGTGTTTGTCCACGCTTGTCGCGGGCTCTTCGGCTAGTGCAAACAACCTAGAAATCATAAGCATTGCATAAATTCAAAAAAAAATTAGCATTTGATTGTGATTTAATAAAAAACATAACTTAATCGTCAAAATAACCTCAAACGGATTTCTCAGCAAAAATTTGCCCCTCTGATACGCCTAATTTTCTCCACAACTCTTCCTAACATCTCAAAACTCACTTCCCCTTCGTGTATTTTATGTTAAACCCCTTACGGAAGGTTGCAAATCACTTTAATTACTTTTGACTAAACTTCTACGCATTTGACGGTTGCCGAAAATGAAAAATGCATGAAAAAAAAAAAGTAAAAGTCAAAATAGATGTGTTAGGAATGAAAAGAATGCTTAGAATGACATAAAAGAGAAGTTTCTACCTTATAAACTCATCCCCGTAGCCTAAACAATGAGTTACGATCTTTTTATGGCTGCTCGCCTTTAGTTGTTCGCCTCTTAATATAGTACCCGAGTAGTAGCCAATTGCATGGAGGAGAATATAAGAGAGGGAGTGAGACACTATACTTAAGGGAAAATGCAATGGATCTTAGTGTTCGATCTCATCCAATGAATGCATGCGCATGAAATTACGGGAAAGTCGGTTGGGAACAATAATTTTTACATCCGTTCAACATACAATGTCTATCTCGAATTGATTGATTTCATACACATAATTTAATAAAAACAATTTGATATAATTTCAAGGGATGCAAAACTAGATGCTTTTAAAATTTGCTAAATTCTTTACTAGATTTATGAAATTTAGGTGTTACTTATTGTTCCCATAGCAACCGACTATGATCTTTGCAATCCCATTTGACTATTATTATTAAAATATAATTGCACATCATCTTTTTAATTCCATATTGTCCAACTCAAAAGACGAGTTAAATCTTTATAGTCATAATTATATAGTGAATTATTTCAATTTATCTATACCCCGTGTTTTTTACCCTCTTCTCAAAAAATTATGACATCTCTTCATTTAGTTATATTCTCCGAATATGTATTAAAATCTCATATAAATTAAGACTATACTTTATCACTCCACCCTCAAAACTCTCTTCCGCGCATCATGTCCACTGAGGTTGCTTCCTTCCATTCGCTTCAAATCAAATCCAAGGCTTCAAATCTAAACAACGTCCAACAACCGCATCAGCAAAATCATCATCACGCACCAGATCTTTTCACGTATCCATTTTATGTGGCGATTTGTTTCGCCAATCCAATCCGAAGTCTTATCATTTGTAGCAACAGAGAAATCAGCCTTTACGTAATCCACATAGACGTGACGTTCCCATAATTATCTGCCCCTCAGCCTATGAAAATTGACCTTGGCCTTATAATAATTCCTGCCACAGAAATATCCCTCGGCTACTTCACTATTTCTTGCTTATTACTCTAAAAGTAAATGCTTCCCAACCACTAATCTTAAAAAGATAAAAATTAAATAAAACAAGTATAATTAATTACATTTGACCAAATTTATAATGTGAATATTTTAAAGCATTAATTGCTTTTGACTCTACTTTTGTTTTTAAATCGGTCTTTATTTACGCCCAAATCAGACCCGGTTCGGTCTGGAGCTATCCGCCCGTTCCATGTAGGCGGAGATTTCCTAAATTACCCTCAAGGGCATCTTTGAGGCTGGACACGCGTCGGTTAACTATTCGTCACAACACTGCGCCCGCATTGAACTCCATATCGCATCCATTTTCCGTATTGGGAAAGCACGGTCACGTGTCCGGTACAGTGCCTCAGTCTTACGTACAAAAATGGAAATTGTGATTAGGGTTTTAAAAATTAGGTTAAATTTAGAGCTCCATTAAAAGATCCTCCCCTTGAAAGAATCCCCTGGTATGTATATATATATATAAGCTAGCGGTAGCGGTAGACCAACGCATTTGGCATCCTCCTCCTCTCTGCAATTATTTCTCCTTTTGCAAACCATTTTGCCTCTGCGGCGAGCATCGGCGCGAATCTTGCAGCTTCACGTTGTTGTTGCGGTTGAGCCATGGCTTCGGTCTGTATCAACAATGTCGGAATGTCGCCGGAGAATTTCTTCGACTGCCCGCCAGTTCAACCCTCGCACGGCTGGCTGAGTCCTAGGGTTTCGTTTAGCCGCGATTTGGCGGATGATGATGGCGGCAAGAATGGCGGTGAGAAGTCGGAGCAGGATGAATCGGTGGTTGATTTTGTCGATTTTGAGTTCCGGCTCAATGATCCGGAAACGATGATCTCCGCCGACGAGCTGTTCTCCGACGGGAAACTGGTTCCGCTTCATCTCGTGCCGATTCAGCCGTCTGGAGAGCGGGAGTTGGAGGTCGTGCGGACTTCATCGATACATTCGCCAGATCATCTTTACTCGTTCTCACCGAAGCCGCCAAGGTGTTCGGGAGTGTGGAAGGAGCTGCTCGGTCTGAAGAAAGCGCAGAGTATCGAAACAGAGCGCCAGAAAGCCGCCTCTGCTTCTTCAAAGGTTTCTAATACCGTTTCTCTTAAGCATTTCCTTCGCCGGAACAGTAGATCTCCCTCAATCGACTCCGCCCTTCCATGTTCTCCACTTCCCCGCGACTCCGATTCAGAATCGGTGTTTTCAGCTCGCGCCTCGCTTTCTTCTTCCTCCTCCTCTGGCGCTGATCACGATGATCTAAATCCTCGCCTTTCACTCGACTCCGATAAGATCAGCCCGGTCTCTACATCGCTGTGCCGAAATCCATCCCGGGCTAAAGCACCGCAGGCTAGAACACCGGCATTCCGTCGATTATCTGGGATATCTGCGGATGGCAACATTGCGACCATGCGAATCGGTCTGAATTCGATCCGGTGGAACTCTGAATCGGAGTTGGATAGCGGCGATGGTTTCCCGGCGGCTCTAAGAACTTTGGCGGATAGCCCGCGGCTCAATGCATCTGGGAAAGTTGTTTTTCATGGACTTGGAAGAAGCTCAAGCAGCCCGAGCATCTCGAATCGAGCTCCGAGATCTCGTCCCCATGGAATGGAGCGGTCCTGGTCAGCTAATGTCATGTTCACGCCGGTTCTTAATGTTCCTGTGTGCAGCAGCCATCGTAGCACAGCGAAGTCCGTTCCCGCATCAGGCTTCGGCCAACTCTTTTCGGTACATAAAAGGGAGAAAGACGGCTCATCTTCTGCGAAGAACGGACTCAACTGCTCGAGTAATGTTACCAAAACAAAATGCGATAAATCAACAACCCGGGATTAATTAGGTAGCGAAATCCTAAGCTAAAATCACTGAACTAGAACAAAAATTCAATTTTTAACTCTGGTTTATTTCTTCTTTATTTTATTTTTTCATGCATTTGTTTCAGAATTAGACAACCCTATTTGCTATTGATATAAATACTAGTCCTTTTAGGTTGTATTTTCAGCTGTTTCTGTAACAATTTTCAGTTTTCCCATCTCTTTGCTCTGTTTCTTAAGCTCTGGGGGACATATTTGTAACAACAGAAGAAGCTGTTTGTGCTCTTTTTTAAACTCTCGGTTTGCCGAGATTTAGTTTGGCTGAATCAAAAAAAAAAAAAAAACTTTTTTTTCTGTTTCGTTTTACCAAGTATTGTCTCCCATTTTATGGATGAAAGAAAAATTTCCCTTTCTATGAAAACTTTGTTCTTGGCGGAGCAGTTTTGCATGTGTGCATATGGGAGCTTTACATGGCTGAGATGTAAATGCTGCCTTCGTGGTAAAATGTTTCGCGGGAGGGACCTCATTATTCCTTTTCAAGTCTTTATCTAGCGAACCATCAATCCGCATATATAAATTTTGCACGTGAAATCACTCGTTCCTAACCGGTGCTGCGGGAGTAATCTAAACCGTTCGGATCACCCTAAGGTCGTTGGAGGCCAACTCTATCGATACCGTTGGGTGCGTCGAGGAAATTCTCTCAAAAGTGTTTCGTACGTCCATCAAATTGTCTTCTTGCGGCAGGGGGCGCCGCCGGGGACGTGATGATTATGCCAATTTATTTTACTCATTTATTATCTTTAGAAATGTAGTAGGGAAATTTACATATATACCTTACATTTCTTTTTGTATTTACATATCTAACATTTTAAAGATAACTTGCTATTTATAAAACTAACATCTTTGAGCTATTGGACGGCCATGATTATGTGTGATATAGTTAAATTAATAAAATTTTGATTCAAATGAAAAATGTGGATTGAGATTTTATAATAAATTTTGATATTTGAATGATGTGGGACCTAATTTCTTAAATAGCAATAGTTGGAGAGATGTAGTAAAACAATGCATGCATTAACATCCACTTCATGACCACTAGGATTGGGCATTATCGAAGTTTATCTTCCACAATGATTGATTGATGTTTGATTGTGTAAAAAGGGGAAATTCACATGCATATCACGGACAAGTCAGGTTTGAACAAAATTTGAAAGCTTAACTTAAACATGAATAATTTATAATTGTACCAATTCAAGCCAAATCCATTATACACTCGGCTCGATTACAGCCCACGAGATAAAAGTGAAAAAAATTAAGGTTTAGATGTTAGATACATAAATACATAAGAATTGAGTGGTACACATGTAAATGCTCCAAAATAAATTAGAAGAATTACATAGCATGACCAATTTATAATTATAGGAATGAAATCACAAATCATATTGAAGAATACTTCATTAAATCACTCAAGTTAATTAAACTAGTAATGGAATTCAATTAGAATGTTCAAGTAAGTCTTGATGTGCATTTTCCCACGTGAAAAGTAAGCATTATACTAATATTTCCTTGGAGGCATTTACATGCATGACACACAATTCTTGCACATACATTTCTAGTGCCTAGACTTTTGCTTTTATAATTATAACGCTCAAAATCTTAACATCGCATTACAAATATCATCATTATTAACTTCTAAAAATTGAAATACTCATTTTAACACATCGGTTTCTGAAACCAAAATTTGAGGAGCGTATTGATCACGCATTAGGTGTTAAATATGTAAATAAATAAAATTTGTGTGGTGTGCATGTCAATCTCCCTTTTCTTTTGATATCTAAAGTGATTGAATGATAATGTCGGATCAGCTGATCAGGGGATGGTTTGGTGAAACCATTTAGTATCCAAGTTGACTTAGCCATCATAAATGCGATTTTTATAAATACTTTATCCTTACTCATGAAACATAGTACATATCTATCTTGCTAAAAGAGATGATAATTAATAATGGTAAGATTACTGATAAGGGGAGCAGAGAGGTCACGTGCCCCTCTAAACTTTTTAATAAGTTATAGATTAATTGGTGTTTTAAATAAGAAAATGTTCATTTATGCTCCTTACAAATAATACAGTTAATTTAGGCGCCCCACTGTGATGATCAGCTTATCCAAAAACGGAATGTGAATTCGATCGCCTAAAACCTAGGGCTGTCAAGAAAGCTCGTTGTTCGCGAACAGTTCGTGTTCGGTTCGTCAATGAGTTTGTGTTCGATTCGTTCTATAAGTAGACGAGACGAACATGAACTTTTTTTTTTTCGTTCGGTTAGTTAAATGAACTAAACACGAATAGTGATGCGTTCGTTCGTGTTCGAATCGTTATTGTTCGAAATATAAAATAATTTAAAAAAATTATATATAAAAAATTTATGATATTTAAAAAATTAAATTTTATAAATTATAATATATAATAAAATAATAATAATAATATATTAATATATATATATTATATTTATATAATATAAGTTATATAATTAATATAATATATTATTTATATATATTAATATTAGGATTGTCAATCTGGTTTGTTGTTCGCGAACAGCTCGTGTTTGACTCGTTCGTTAAGAAACGAAAACGAAAAGTGAGTTGAACAGTGAGTTCACGAATAATTTCAAACAAACTAAATTTCAAACGAACCGAACACGAACACAAGCTCTGTTCGTTCGTGTCCGGTTCATTGGTTCATTTACACCCCTACTAAAACCTTTGTCCATTTCGAAACATTCATCGATGGACCGTGATTGTCACGTGCAATTTGTGTCCATTTCTGGCAAACTTTTATATTTTCATTCCAATCCCCTTTTTTTTATGAGTGAGCATGCTCATATTACACCAAAAAAATAGAGATTTATGTCCTTTTCTTTTGAATTAAAAAAAAAAAAAAGACAAATTTTAGAGTTTGCAGCCCTCGTTTTGAACAAGCGAGCATTAGTGAGCGTTTTTCTCGTCTTTTCCACACTTTTCCAATTTCATTCGCTCAATTTTGAAGGATTTTTTTCTTTCTTATCTGTAACAAGCGAGCATTAGTGTTTCTATCATGCAGGTTCCTTTTTTTCTCCTCGAGTCCCTTCTCTCATCCTTTGAATACTAGTATTGATATTAAAAATGTTGAAGTTTTTGAGAAATAGAGACGAATGACTATGTGATGGCCATGCGCGATTGAACTAATCCATCACGGGATGACTGTTTCGAAAGGGACGAAGGTTTTGGGTGTCTGAATTGTAAATTTTGATGTTTGTGTGGTGAAGATGTTATATTTGAAATTTTTGGTGGCATGCATGTAAAAGCCCCAAAAGAAATCTGTGTTTTTGGGAATATACGTTCTTATTAAGGCCTTCTATTTGTAGATATAGGGCCTTGGTCTTATAAAATTACAAATATGTTTGTCATTACCAACTTATTAAGGGAGGGCATTTTAGTAAATTACAAGAATATTGAATATAATAAGATCGGTCAACTTGTCTAATCGGTGTGAACATTGTCGATCATCTATCTTGTTTGTTCTCTGTTGATTCTCGATCCTGCGTAGGATAAGTAGGGCGATCAGTTTATTGAAATTGATCGTCTTTCCGTGAAGGCTAAGTTTTTTGATAGTTTTGTCTGCATCTGATCCGTGCGGTTCGTTGGCTTTATGCTTTCCCTCCTTAATTTTTGACATGTCGGTCGCCCGAAGATCATCCGCCATTGATAGCTGTAGACGATCAGTGATCCAATTGACCGTCGCTTTCCTTTGATCCGTCAGATTCTCTCAAGATTCATGTCTACATATTTTATGTATACTTATTTAGTTCCCAATTCCCTTGCTTTTTGAAAGTCGTATGACACATGAGAACAAGTAAATCTTTTCTATATTAAATGTCATTATTGCTCAATAATGAACTCTCGTTGATTTACTTGCTCAGACTACTATAAATAAGTCATAGGATGAGATGGGTTTGCGCCATCATCCTTCATTCCCGCTCCCTTGACTTCCGTTTATCTGTCGGGATGTCTGGTGAGGAAGCACAGCCCACTGATAAAGATACTATCTAATAGACACTATTCAGAAACTGCAAGCACAATAATGCATTGACAGAGGGCAATGAAGGTTAAGCTGATGGAAGAATTTGATCATGAAAGCTTGTGCAGAAAGCTTGACAATCAGTTAGACTGTCTCACATCCGAGATGGAAAGGGAACGAAAACTTAGAGATTATGAAAAAAGATAACATGGAAAGGCGTTTAAAAGAGTGTTCTTTAGCTGAAGCAGAAAAAATTTCGCTATGATGGACAAGCAGCAACTTGAGAGCTCAGCTTTTCAGAAGTTACTTGCCGAGACTACACAAATGTATGAGGAAAAAATAGCAGAGTTAGTTGATAAAGCAATTTAGTTTGAAGGAACAATTGACTTCTTCGCGCCAATCTCTTGCAAAGCCATGTGAAGAGGAGTGGAATGAGCGAAATGGCCGACCTTGATCCATTTTGCAGAAGACTTGCGTGGTTCGTTGCGAGATACGTCGACGCGTGGACTGAACACCGACAGCTCGGAAGAAGCAGCAATGACGTTTGCAACCAACATAACGATATAAACTCAAAAACTTTTATGTTTTCTTTCCTAATCGGCTTTAGTTTAGCTCAGGGTAGGCATGTTGGGTCCGGTCGCCCACACGGGATGAGTGTGCGGCCGACATTAGTCGGCGCTGCTACACTCCCTTGGATTGGCCATTGATTTCCTAGAGAAAGCCCTAGATTAGGATCTCCGTGCGTAGCCAAATCCTATGCGGAGCTGAGCGCCTCCCCTCTGTGAACCTAGACCTAAATCTTAGTGGGTTGGAGTCCCAATCTCCCATTGCTTTGGTTTTCCCCAGCCTTCTTTGGAGAGGATGGGATTTTTGGATTTTGTAAAGTGAAAAAAGTTTTGTGGCTAGCTCACCTTGCAAAATCATGATAGGTTGTGAAACGGGAAAAACTTTGTAGCTAGCCCATTCCACAACATCGTGTAGAGTTTTCCTTCTGGAGGCACACCTCGCCAAATTAGGAGGCAACTATACTACATATCCAAGTGTTAAACCTTAGGCTCCCATGAGAGGACATTAGTGTGAGTATGACTCATCATTGAGCACGATCATTTGCTTTGAATTTTGTCACATGTATTGCTTAGAGCATGTTGCATTAGCACTTTGCCTTAATTGGCTGCCCCGACCCAGTCAGCAACGCTTTTGCCTCGATCGGCCACCCAGGCGCATCACTCTTACCTCAACCAACCACTCCGGCCCAGTCGACCTA